TCCTGCTCCATCTGTACGGGCTGGAAATCCCACCTCATCGTACTGGGCGGCCGCAGGACTTGAGCATCTAAGGTGTTCTGGCAAACGTCTCTGGCTGCGCTGCAACAGCCAGCTGACACTGCTATTTTGTTCTTTATTTTTAGAGACCAGTGTCAAAAAGAACCAACCCTCTGGTTGGGGACAGGTTAAAAAAAGGGTGATGGTTCAGGTGTCTTTTTCTTCCTCTAGCAGACAGCATTCCTGGCTTTCCTGTGCTTGGCTGGGAATCTGTCCCGTTCTCAACACTGAATATCGCTGCATCTTCTCCTGTATAAAAGAAACACACAAGTTTTCCTGGTCTCCACATGGAGAGATGTCCTTGTGTTTCATTTCAGTCTGCTTCGAAAAGCAATGAGGGCAAAAAAGTAATTAAAAAAAAAAATCTCGCTCCAAGGGGACGGGGTAAAGCTGGCAGAAGCTGGGTGGGATGACACGGCGGTGATGCCACGGGAGCTGCGCCCACGTCGCATCTGGAGGACCTCATCCCCCAGCACCGGGGGGACAAAGGGGGCTGGAGGGGTGAAATCCAGCAGGAGTTCAAAGTGTTTGGGGAGCAGCAGGTGATGGGACCCGCTGGGAAAGCCCCCAGCTGGCCGCGGAGACGCACGCGAGGGCAGGCGGAGTGGGAGAGATCTTGGGAGTAAGTAGCAGCGCTAGAAGAGGTAAACATAACTTTGTTTGTCTGTTTTGTAGGGTTTTGGGGTGTTTTTTCCTTTGGTCAGCCCAAGAGAAAACATGCAAAGGAGCGAGCTGGGCAATAATTATTATAAGCTGCCCAGGGAGGTGGTTGAGTCCCCATCCCTGGATGTGTTTAAGAATAGGGTGGATGATCTACTTGAGGATATGGTTTAATGGGGATTAGGGATGGTTGGACTCGATGATCTCTAAGGTCTTTTCCAACCTAGAAATCTATGAATCTATGAATAAACACAGGTTTCAGATGGGAGGCTGAGTGGGAGTTATCCGGTACGGAAAGGCGGTGCTGGCTGCTCACCTTGTAGGATGCACTTTGTTAAAAAAAGCAGGATTTACCCCCAGGTTTTTTAAGGGACAAATTATCCGAGCACGAGGTGGCAAGTCATAGGATAGGACATCCCTGGGGTCCAGTGTCCCCGTCCCAGGGGTTCAATGAAGGGAAGCAACAGCTGTGGGTGTAACCCTGGGGGTGTTCACTTAAAACAAAGCCCTGCATGGGGAGGTACAAAGGAGATCTCAGGGAAAAAAATGGACAGGCATCACGGCATGCCCATCTCTTTGATGAATAACCAGGTTATTGCACTCATGTCAACTCTTAACATCTCCTCCAGCCTCCGTTCCTGCTTTCCTGTTAATTTTGTTGACCCGCTGTAGGGTCATACAGGGAATTAGCTGTTACCTCCTTACAGAATTGAGATCTTGGCCTTTTTATCTGTTCTACGCAGTGCCTAGCACGCTACCGGGCACTCTCGTAATTAAGACCTAATCGTGGTATAAATCAAGTAAATAAGCACTTGTCGACAGGTCCGAGATCTTGGCCTTTTTATCTGTTCTACACAGTGCCTAGCACACTACCGGGCACTCTTGTAATTAAGACCTAATCGTGGTACAAATCAAGTAAATAAGCACTTGTCGACAGGTCATCAGGACTCGTGTGTCTCTCAGGCAAAGCCACGTTCGTGGAGGTCAACGTAGCCAAACTCCTTCAAGGCGAGTGAAGTGCTCTTCAGTAGCCCCCCCTCACTGAGCCCCTTTCCACGGGCTACCGAGCAGCCCTGCAAGTTGCCCGTTTCCCACCTATCCTGTGGGTATGAATGTCTCTGCCCACCGAAATCTTTTGGGACTTTTGTTGATTTTTCTGTAGCGGTAAAAAACCCAATCAAAGTATTAAACGGTAAGAACGTGTTAGTTGGTGTTGCAGACTCCAAATTAAGGCACTCGTGAGTTTTTTCTCCAATTTTGAAGTGGATGGTTTCTAAATAGTCACTGAGCTGCATAGTTAAAGATGTTAAGTAAAAACTCTCACTCATTCAGAAAGTGAAAATATTGAGGGAAATACTAAGACAAAACAGTATTTCCACTACACTGCTGTTTAACCTCAACGACGAATGGAAAATGCATCTGACCTTTGACTAGAGCCTTATTGTCAACCAGGGACTATTTTTTTCTGTGATTCTAGTGTCAGAACACCCAACTGATATATGAGTGTTACAGGATAACTAAATGGTCATTAATTCAATTTAAATTCATTTAAATTAATCACTGTGATTAATGAATTTATTAGCTAGGAATAAATTGTGACTTGGTGGAGAACACGAAGGGAGTGGGAAAGAAACTGTGAACAAGGAAACGTCTCTTTTTGACAGAGTCGAAAGGCAAAAACGAGTTGAAACATTATTTGAGTATATATAAAATTTGCGTCATAAAAAAAATAAAATCAGAGTAACAAATGTGCAGCACTTTAATGTCAGATTTGACTGTCGTTGGAACTGTTCACAAGTCGTGTGGACAATCTAAATTGTACTTCATTTTCTAAGTATGATATATAACCATCAGGATAATTTAGAAAACACATCACCAGAACTTGGGCTGAAGAGGGAAGAAAGGGAACATCTTTGGAAGGTCCAAGTGGGATTTTTCAAGTGAACTCTATTCCAATATTTTGCGACAAACAGGAAGAAGTGAGGTCTGTTACACATCTTTCACAGCCTATATATAAACCAGCCTCAAGAATATTGACCTGAACAGATATATACAGGTTTTTTTTTTTAAATATTCTTAAAAAAGTAATATTTGCTTGATCTATGACACAATGAACGTCTCTACAGGGAAACTTACCATAGGCATAATAAAATATTCAAGAAGTCATAAAAGAGAACACGAGAGCAGTGTTTGGCCTTGGTAAAACACACTTAGGATGACCGCAATGGATGGATACAGCTTCGTTCAAGAAAGGAGTTGTGCATATTTAAAGGTACTTACAAAGCTGGTCTTCTCCTTTCCTTGACATGGGTATGTTTCCTAACCAGATGAGTAGAAAATCATGGACACCATGCATTGCTAAAGGAAGGCTACGCCAATCTGTTTTCTATGTCTGTGTTGGAGTGATGGGATAGTCTCTTCTAACCCCTATGGCTCATAAGTGAAGAGAGATGTAGGTTTCAGCCTATGGGTGTTGAAGGGCAATTTCGAGGACTCCACGTTTAATGAATTCATAGGATTCAGCTCCCCTTCTTCGTCTGTCTGAACAGATTTGTATATAGTCTCTACAGAACCGAGATGGTTTACATTACTTCAGGTCTACAGCCATGCTAAAAGACTACTCTTTTGGTAAAGTTTAACATTTAAAGCAAACATTACCAGCGTTAGCCTGCATCCTTCTCACTTAAAACCCCTCTGTGTGCGTTGTGAAACGGGTGACTTTAAGCATCGGTGTCGGAAAATAATCACCGCGCCGCTACGTATCACGGGATGCGTTCAGCAGCTGCTCCCGTACAAACTCTGGGCACCGGGGTCATTGGCAAAACGAGGTGGGTCTTTCCAAAGGCCGAGGGGTGGCTTTGATGCAACGGGTGTTTACCTTCAGGGAGAGTTCCCACCCGCATGGAGAGCGCGTTTTCGAGGCGGCGCGCGGTGACACAAGCGCTCGGATGCGCCCGTTCGCGGCGGCAGGGATGTTCACCTGGTTTGCACCACTTTGTGAGCCGTAGAGGCCCTTGCCCTGCTTACTTCAAGGTGATGGATACGGAAAGTTACAAAAAACACCAACTAGAAAAGTTTTTATACCTTCCAAATGTGCGAATGGATCTATGTTTTTATGGGAACCCAACTGAAATTTCTCAATGCCAGCTGTTGCGTTCTAGGGTAATTCAGCTGGCTTCGCATGAATCTCTTCGCTCATAACTAAAAGATAATTGACTATAAACAAGTGTACTATAAATGGTAAGAAAAAAATCACAAAGAAAAATTTTTTCCCAGGATGTCTGAAAAGAAATAGGCAAATTAAGGTTACGACTAGAAAATGAGTGAGTTTTCTATTAAAAATACCCTCTGTCATTGTAGCTATTATTTTACAAAGAACCAAGTGACTTCAGTGCTGCTAAATATTTAATGAGAGTAACCAACAATTTCTAGAAGTGTTGCTGCCTCCTATGGGAATAACCATAATTAATTGTCTGCCCCTGAAGAGCAGATTTTGCATATTGTGCCCAAGCTGACCGCACTCACAAGCTGCTGAAAGACTAATGTCCCCTTCTCCAGAAATTTTTTTTACAATCTCTGACTCCCCTCACCGTCTCCTGGCTTTTACCCACTCTAATGGCCTGGATATTTCATGCCAAATTTCTCAAATACAATCACACAAATATGCATTAGAAGAGGGGGGGACTCACAACATTGCCCTCAGTAGTACCAAGAGCAAAATTAAGCGCAGAAGAAGGCGAGCTGACAGTTACTATTTCTGTTATGCCTCCTTCTGAAATCACATCCGTGAATCCTCTCAAAGCCATCCCGCAGAGAAAACTGATCAGTTTTCATTAAATTGCTCTCCTAGGTTCCTGCGGGTTGAAAACTGCTCTCTGATGCTTAGTTTCCCTCATCATCCAAAGGTGAATTTTAACTGCAGTCATTGCTTCTGCAGCCTCTCCGTGGTGGGGTGGGGTAGTCAGCACAGCTAACGGGCAAGGTATAACGGGAAAGAAAACCCATGGCTTGAACAAAACAGAAAAGCTCCTCAGTATGGAAACCCAAAATCGGTTTTGTTCTACAGAATCACTAGGTTTCGTGGCTTATACGCTATCTCAGTGGAGATATTATTCGCTTCCCAGCATTTTTCTCATAACCACAAATCATACCCCCAAATAAAAATATCCCTTCAAAACCACTTCCTATTAGCAGAGCATACCTTATATCATAAAACTTGCAAGTAGACCAGTGTTGTACCATGAAGCCTATACAGGGGTTTTTTGTTTTTTCTTCTTTTTTTTTTTTTTTTTTCTCCAGTGTAAAAATATACAATGCTACTGCTCATTTGTTGCAGCGTAAAGGTCCAACCGGTACTCGCCTGCCAAAGGCTCTACTGCTATTGCCCTTTCATACCTCTCCAACCCAGACCACTGTGTTACCCCTCCTTATACCTGACACCTCACAGCGTAACGTGTTCTGCCTCCCATTTATAACAAACAATGAATCTTTAGCTGGTGTAATGAGATACTGTCCAAATAATCCACTGTCTTTCATAATTCTGTTGTAGCTGCTCCAGGGCCAGTCTTTGGATGTGATAGGGTCCTTTAAATTCTTCAGTACATTCATTTTCCCCGTTGACAGCTCTACAAAAAGCACATCTGTTTGCAAATGTGAAGTAGCATATATATAGTACTGATTGCCTTCGGTGAAAGAGGGCTGAAATGTCAGATCAGATACGCGTAGGTTGGTTTGTAAGTCATAAATCAACTTGATTTCCCCTCGAACAGTCAGAGCCTGGACTTTGATCCTGCCACTGTCTTCATCTGCACTGACCAAGTAGCGTCCATCCGGTGAGATGTAAGGTGTGCCCGACACGTCGCTGTTGGGGCCGACGACGGCGTCGGTAACGCTGTCAATAACGAGCTGCGGCGGCGCAGCCACCGACCTGTTCCTCCTGCACTGGACAAAGAAGTAACCGCCCAGGTGGGTGTAAGCCATGGTCTGTGGTAGGCAGCTATGGTTTTTGAAGCTGATAGTCTTGATGTGGGTCACAGTTTCCAGGTCAATTTTGTGAACTGCGGATTTCGATTTGTTAAAGATGAAGCCGAACCTGAAATAGAAAACATGGCACAGAAGTCATCTCCCGGGACACGGTGATATGCTTGAGAAAAGACCAAAGTCAGCAGAACTGGGAAACTCTATCCTGTTGGTTTCGGAAGTGTGTGCAAGAACGCTGTCTCTTTCCTGTAAGAAATCTCTCTCCTTCTAGTGCTTCTAAAATGTGCTAAAGGGAGGTATATATTTCAGCTAAAATTAGCAACCTGATCCTGGAAGCTCAAATATGCTTGAGTATTTGAGTAACAGCTTCAAGAGCTGAAGCCTTTTATTGGGAAGACCAATTTACAATAGGAATGGTACCAAGGCTTGGGTGTTTTGTAGGCTAGTGTTGACCAGTTCTGTATTTAATCTCTTTCGGGTCTAAAGAGCAGTAATTCAATACATACTCAAGACTTCTTCAGTCTCAAAATAGAAAACTGTTCAAAATAAAACATATCCCTGCCAGGCTGGGGCCAGAGAGCAACTTCAAGCTATATGTACAACCATTGAGTGAAGACCATGTCCAACCTCATCTCTTAAATCATAGCATCAGAGGGGAGCCGTGGTGCGTGTTTGCTACCCGTGGGGCCTGGGGACCACTGCAGGAGCTGGCATGGTGTGAAGCACAGTCCCATCAGCCTGGCAAAGGTGTAAAACAACCAGCCAGGGTGCACTCAAGAAAAGGGGTCTTTATTTTCTGGTCTCAAGAGAGGGCAGACAACAGTGAGCAGAGAATAAATGTTCTCCAAAAGATATATGCTGCAGCGCATCTGACCTTTGCTGAAGACAAGAAAAGGTCAAGAATAGCCAAGAAAGGTTTCTGCTTAATTTGAGAGGGAGCCCATGGAAACAGTCTGTTTGTGTTCCCCTGGATTCACAGGTCACTGACACCGACTTACGAAAACCGATCTTGCATCGAGGATCTTTTCACCCATTCAATGCAGACAGAAGGAAACGAAGGGAGTGCTTAGTTTTACATCTGCTCCTCGAAAGACAGAAAATTGCTTTCTGAAATGTGGAGGACAATGGGCTTGTGTGCAGATAACATACACTTTGCTTAAAACACTGGGTTTCTTTCTTTGTTCTTAATCCATCTGTCAATGAGACGCTCAGCAATGATTTCACTTCTAAAGAACGAGCCAATGTAGTGTATGATCCCATGAAAATCACTGGGCTAAGCCTTTCATTTTCCCATTACACTCACATCCATTAGAGACTTCAGAAAATATCTGCAGTGGAGATTCGCAGCACACCGCGTGTGGGGAAATTGGATATGACACTTGTATTTCTCCTGGTTGAATGCATTTTAAGTACACTTTAAAAAATGCTTTCCCTTACAGTATTTTTTTTCCCAAGACTTCCTTAATACTTGGCCAAATGCCTGAAGAAGTTAAAAAATGGTTCTTATCATAAACTTTAATTTTAAAAAGTGGGTCAGAATGTGTTTTATGTGCACACAGCTGCAGAAGAGGCTCAGAGCTTGCATGAAATCTGTGATCTGAAATCTCAAAAAAAACCTTGCACTTAAGAGAGTTTTTAATAGACAACAATCTACCCTGGGAACTAATAAAAATGGATACATTCCTAGATATCCATCTGAAATAACAGGCAGCTGAAATACATATGCAGGAACATTTGCATACAAATATTTTTTGGCTCGCAGAAGAGATTGCTTAAATATTCACCTTCCTGGGAAATGCTGGTATTGCCATTTATTGTTTCTGAGTGGAGAATTTAGAACACGATCTCAGTAAGTCTCATTAGACTGTGAGCAATTATTTTTCTGTGCTGAGGGTGAGAGAGAACAGACAAAGATCTGGCCCTGAACAAATGAAATAGGAAATTAGGCACAGCATTCTCTGCTTTGCACATGGAAGGCTACAGACAATTACCTACATTTAACATTTCTTAGGGAAGATGATCTGTATATAGCCGATTAACCACGCTGAAGCACAAGGACAATAAAACAAAAAAATAAGGCAAATTGTTCCACCTTTCTGTCTTTGAACCCAGACCATACCTTCTCATCTCAGGCTTCAACATTCAGCAGAGTCATCTACCTCCTGGCACTATTAGTCCTAACGATATTTTGAAAGCAAACTAGAAAAATGAGGTAGGGAAAAATTAAGAATGACAGCCATGAAGTATATCTCGTTATTTTGTGTTTCAGGAAGCAAAGTTATTTATTTTGGATCAGATTCAACACATAATCGTTTAAGTGTGACCCCTCTGTCCACAGTGTTCACTGCAGGGAACCTAAGATTAATGTAATGTCAGGAGTTACATTATCATTTTTTGAGTGTTTAACTTAGTTAAACTATACTGGGGACAGAAGATGGTTAAACAGTTGTTATGTTACAACACAATAAGAATAGTATAAATTCCTGTGCAGTTATCATCAATTTTGATAATGTTAATGGGAGGCTTCCTGTGCCTGCTGGGAAGCAGCCAGTATTACTCCAAGTTATTAGTATGTTAGTTATACGAGCTCATTAACTACTACATCACATTAACATTCAAAACTGATGGCTTGTAGAGGTTGTTTTTTTAATCTGGAGTGCATACCATTTTTCTGCTCCAATTCTACACCTTACAAAGAGATCTAATATTTGAACAAGTAAATAGCTGGAAACGTGTGGAAAATCATGCTCTGTGCTTCGGGCAGAATAAACTTTTAACACTTCAGGCAATACATCTTTGACACAGGTTTCTGCTCAAATCCACGAAGTGGTTTTGAGGAGGGAAGGCAGCTTTCCGGCCATCAAATTCCCAGCACAAGTGAGCCAGGGCAGTGTGTCCTGCTTTGCTGCAAGGAGGCATCACCAACCAGCCTGAGGTTTGGACACCTGTGCATGGTCTAAGGAAATCCAGGTTTGTTTCTTGTGTTTTCATTGATTCGCTGAACATAGGTAATTTGCTCAACCGTTTCTCCATTTCACACGTGAAAATGGGGATGAGAGTAGTCAACTTGATTACAAATTCATTCATTAACATTCATCAAGTGCTGTAAGATTATTAGAAGGATGCCCACTAGATGAGAGCAGCGTGGTCGCCGTCGCTATTCATGAAGATCATTCCTTACCTAACGTGATTAATAATAAGATTTGTAGGTGGTATAAAAAAATCCTCCACTCCTTCAAACGGTGTGCGGATGACACGCTGATCCTCGCCTGCACTCGCCTCTGGTATTACCTACAACAAATATACACAAGGTTGAGTACAGGAAAAGCAGTGAGTAAGGCAGAAAGGCACATACAGATTACGTAGTCAGACGCAGTTCCGAGTGGCTTTTCCCAGGGATGTAGTAGACTCAATTTGATTAATGACTTCAAAATATTGTTTGGTGCAGCTGCCTTGAAAAAGGTGTGCTAATAAATAGTATTTGAGGCTTGACATTTGTAAGGTAAGTACACAACTCTACTTCCATAAGATGTTTGTATCTCCAGAAAGAGCAGTCACGCAGGAGCTGAAGTAGTATGGCAACACTAAGACCATAACCATTTATTCCCCACTGTCTAAAATAAATATTTATTTCACGGTCATATTCATTAATCTCACTTAAATGCACAGCGATAATTTACCAGGTTGAAGGATCAAACACTAACTCACAGCACTTATCACTTGGAAGGAGAAGAACGAACTGTTCATCCATCCACTGCAGCATATAAAACTCAGGAAAGAGCAGAGAAAGATCCTTTGGCTACTCTCCATGGCCACAGAAACTCGGCTTCTCCACCACTCCAGAAAAGGAGAGGTAGAAGTTTTCAATACTTAAAATGTTAAATACTCAAATTGTTTGCTTGGTTCAAGACAACTTTAGTCTATTCGTTAGGAACTTCTGCTGGTCTAATGTGCAACAGTAGTTGCTTTGAATTTACAGCTACATAATTCATTAAGGAAATGCTGAAACTCTACAAGGTTTAGTTCAGACAGCTGTTCTGGTCGTGCCATTTAGATTTCTTCCAATTAGATTGCTCAAGAAAGATGCCCACTCTTGCACGGTGCTTTCATGAGGCCGGACATTTGCTTCCCAGAAGCCAATAATGGCTAAAAACCAGCCTCCCATTAGTGGGCTGCATGGGCTGTTTGATAAATCCCTGACTGCCAAAGAACGAGTGGAAATTTAGATCAACCTCTGCAGTAGCAACTCGGTTAAAAAAAGATATTTCATTGCACATCTGCAACTAACCACTGCAGACTTTAAGAATGAACTTTCTCAAATTAGTCATTGCCCACCTTTCGGGAAAGAAGAGTGGAAAAAAAGAAAAGCTCTGCTGATGCTGATGCTAATCTCATTCTCTACGTGTGTTACTGCACTTCATAAAGATAACAGAAAGGACTATTTGAGAGCTGGAGCCTTATAACAAGTTTCCAACTGTGCAGATGGTGTGTTCTTCTTAATAATCACATGCTTGTGCCATCTCTCCTTTAATTACAGAAACCTCTCGCAGCTGGAGGGAAGAAATTAAGTCAGAAAGGGTAAAGAGAGCCCATTTAGTCTCCTTATACCCGATACAGGAAACTGCTCGTCCCCAGGAGAGACAAGCTGGTGGTATTGCCTCATACACCTTAATTTATTTGCCCCCATTCTGTTTCTGGTGTCTTTTCCTGAAAATGCCTGTGATGAGTTGCTGGTCCATTCTTTATTATTGAAATCCCATAGGCCACAGTCATTATCTTGGATGGAGCATGTGGCTGGTAGGGATGGCTTGTCCCACCTTCCTGGGGCAGCATCTCCAGCAAAGCCTTGGACAGCCCCATGACTAGCATAGACCCCAGATTTGTAGGTTTTTAGGTCAGAAAGCACAACCACTCTTCTTTACCTGTTAGGGAATGCTTTAATGTAGACTTAGAAGCAAACGTTTATGGTAGAAGGAGCATTCACATGACACCTATGTTTCCAGAAACGCTGGGCAGCAAGTGCCAGAAAATAACTACTAGAGAAGGGTATGTCTGGATGGATCAAATCAGCTCTGGTGTCAACTCTGTCATATGACACACAGCAGCAGCAAAATGTCCAACTAGATGCCTGCACTTCATGTTCCTCTACCGTCAACAGACGAGTGAATCCTCCAGGGCAACCCAGAAATGGAAGCTAATTTAGTTGTCCAAACCTGTGTGTATTACTGTGCCCAATATCGCTGTGGGTCTGATGGTGCTGAGCACAGAGCAGCTCCAGAGACCTCACTAGGACCCCTCCACTGGAGTCACTGACACCCAGCAACAGAATTTGTCTCTGAGGTTTTACTTTTGCTGTTTATGCTGCTTTTTTTTTTTTTTTCCCACACCCTAGAGAACTCTTTCCTGCATTTTACTATGAAAGGAACAATTCTACCACATTATGCTCCATCATCATCCAACAGAAGGCTGAAAGCTTTTAAGAGACAAGTGACAAAATGAGTTTAAGAAAAATAAGTAGCTATTTAGTGCATTGGCAGAAAACCTGGACTCCTCCTATTAAGAAGAGGTAAATGTCTTTACCAAACTGGAGAACAGGGTGGTTTTGCTCAAAGCACAACGAGGGTGCTAGGCTAGCAATCCTGAAAGAGCGACGAATCTTGAGGCACAGTACAACTCATTCACCTTTTGATGCTTCTTTTTTATGCGATGCCCCCAAATTCTTTGCAGACAGAAGGATTGGCAGGTCATCATAACGTGAACACACGCTTAGTCCTCATCTCACGCTTATCCGTGAACGTGCTGTTGCTCAGCCTGACTTGTACCTCCCGTGAAACACCACCAACAGCCCCAACAGCAACAGGTTTCTATGCAGAAAGCGTGTTCCTTGTGGCTCCTTGGTACCCACTGCTTTTAGACCTCAAGCAAGCTAAAAAGAAGCTGCGCTCACGCCGGCTGCACAAACGACCCGGAGCATCGCGGGCGCGCACGGCGCGCAGCCAGCTGCCAGCCCTCGCCGTCTGACTCTACGGCACTTGGCTCTGCCATCAGCCCGAAAACAAAACAGACCCTGGCAACCAAGCAGCCCTGCTGCCAGCCTACGGCACAGTCACTGCTCAAAAACAAATTAACCAGCAGGAAAAATATGTGAGGATGGACAGAGGAGGGATGAATAAAACACACTAGATATGCAAATGAAAGAGCAGCTTTATATCCAGACCATTAAATGCTGTTAATTACCTGCAACCAAGGAGCCACCAGCTTGCTACCGATGACGCTGAGCCAAGGAAGGGCAGAGGCTCAGGCACAGAAGGACTCACCTGCAGTGTTGGTGAGGACCTCCACATGTCACCCCAGCTGAGCACCCACACTTGGTCGTGGGACTTGTCATAATGCAATTTGGTTGGCAATGGGTCAACATCTAAGGACTTAAAAAAAACCAGAGACAGGTATTTACAGAGTGACCACGACGAATATTGTACGAGTTTACTGCAGACACCCCCCTGCACCACTGTTACAGCCATTCGTGCAGCTTTGCACAATTACCTTCAAATCAATTCGGGGACCACTGGCAGCACCAGCAGTACAAAAATCTGGCTGCTCGGTGCCATTTCCCGGCTAGACAGCACTCCATCTTAGGCTGTTACTTACAGCAAGTAAATCAGGGGCCAATTTCTGCTTGAATTATACCCCCACCAGTTCGTTCATCCCAACCTGCTTCTAGCCGAGGTCAGGCAGCAGCTCAGCAAGCATCAGCCAAACGTTTGTTCCAGCGTTATTGTACCACGGCGCCGGCCTGGCTGCAGATACAGCCCTGAGATGATGATAAACGGCCTGTAAAGGAGTTTTTTCCTGCCAGTGAGGTTACAAACAGAGTGACGCCTTGGGTGAAAGCAACGCCAGCCCAACTTTTTAGTGATGTCAGCAAATCCACTGGGCAAAGATCATAGAATCATAGAATGGTTTGGGTTGGAAGGGACCTTAAAGATCATCTAGTTCCAACCCCCCTGCCATGGGCAGAGAAATCCTCCACTACACCAGGTTGCTCAAAGCCTCTTCTAACCTGGCCTTGAACACTTCCAGGGATGGGGCAGCCACAGCTTCTCTGGGCAACCTGTGCCAGTGCCTCACCACCCTCAATGTAAAAAATTTCTTCCTTATATCTAATCGAAACCTCCTCTCTTTCAGTCTACTGGTTTTGTCCCATACTGAAGTCTTTTGCCATCACTGAATAAAGCATTCCCCTTGGAAGTACCTGCACGGCTTTCTGAGTCTGGATATCAATTATCATTACTCTGTTCTGCTTAGGCTGTGTCACGTAAATGTACTTGTCTCTGACATTGACCGCTGAAGCCCAGAGGCAAGACTGAGTGTCTTCACCTTCCACTCTAGGACAGATCTCTTCCTGAGGAAAAAAAAAAAAAAAGAAGAGGAGAAAAGGTTTAATTTCTACAAGTTCAGGGCCTGGAGCAGCAAGAAGCTTAGCCTTGAAAACCACAGAAAAAAATTCCATGGGGATTCTATTAGGATGATATTTTTCCCTTTTCTTTCCTGGAAAACATGAAATAATTATTTTATCAGGTAGCACACTGCAGCCAGGCTCTACCCACTGACATTAAACAGCTGGACCTCCTGGAAACTCACACTGAATTTAAATAACCACCCGGTCTATGGATCTGTCTTTTGAAGTACGCTGTGGTTCATCAAGACTTGCAGTGCTGTCAGCATTTATTAGCAATAGAAATACCACTCTGTGCTTTGGAAAAACAGAGATTTACATTAATTGAATCACAGCTTTATATTTTTCATAAAGTCTTCATTTCCAGTTCAGGAGAGCGTGCTGTAAGACGCTTGTGCTCAGGGAAACAGCAGCAAAACAAGCAGGGTCCGACGGACTATTGCTCCAACACAGAGCCTTACCCTGTTCAAAATGATCCAAATGCTGTTGCTTTGGACCAAATCTTGTTCACAACAGTCTGATGCCGTATTGCATCTCTGATCTTATGCTCTGAGTCCTGTGCAAAACTGGTACTAGCTTTAGCGGGAGCTCACTGGTACCCTAAGTTGGAAGTCACACGTGATCTCACCAGCACATCTCTGCATGTTGGCAACTTTTCACTGTGTTTCCTTCTGTTGAGCTGCTTTTTGTGAAAGAGCATTTGTGTGGGACCAGGCTGTGGTGTGGAAATGAGGGTAAAACTAAATGCACACGTATATATTTCAGGGAGCACAACTGTTGGTTTTAAATCTTGTCAGTACAACAGTCGGGTCACTTTAAATAATGGCACAACCTGCCTAAGGGGAAAGCGATGAGAGCAGCAGAGCTTGTCTGGGGAAAGAGCAGGTACAAGCAAGAGAAATGCCACCACCAGGTCTGTATCGGAGCGATGGCGATGGATAACAAGATTTCACCTCTAAGCAGCCCAGCTCTGTCGGTTCAGCACCTTGGTGGAGACCACGTGTAAAGGTTGAAGATACAAGACTCAACAGCTCAGCTGCGTTTTCCTTCCTGGCCCTCCAGCCAGGCTGGGAATCCATGCTCCTGCAAGCTAAAACCTGCTACAAAAGGCAGCCTTGGGCTTCCAGCAGCTGTTCACGCAGCCAAGCACCTGACAGCCTCCAAACTGCCTTCCTCATCCTCGGCTGTGCACTGGGGCTTGGCCTCTCACAACACAGCATCCCCCCAAACCAACCGGAGCAGAGAAGTCACCGGCCTTTCTGCTCCAGCGCTCAGCTCCAGCTTTTGTGCCCTCTAACAGCAAATGAAGAAACCTTTGCTGTAGAAACCCTCCTAAAGTCACAGGCTGGTATCACTGTCTACGTGGCAAATGCTCAAGATACTAAAAAAGAAAAGGGAGGGGAAAAAAGTCAACCCTCCCTATACCAAGGGGAAGGGCCCTATGACATCCATAGGAAGCCCTTAGAGATGTCTCTGAAAGGCAGCCAAGTAATGATGTTAAAAATCCCTTTTATGCCCACTGCTGTGCTGACATTATTTCCTTAAGTGCTCTCTCTCTCCTCTGTTCTTTTCAAGCTGTTTCTCCAGAACCACCCCTTCACTATTTACAGCTCTTTGGAAAAGAAACACAAGACACCTGTCTTTGAGTAGCAACAGCTCAAGTGTGGCTTAATAATATTTAGTTCATGCTAAGGACCAATCTTGGGGTGAGCATCAGACTGTGTTTATGGTAAAAGTATATTAAAATATTCCAGTGTGGGGGGGAAAAGTATCAATCACAAATTTATTGAGATTTAAAAAAATACTAAATACAGACTCAACAAGAAGATCCTGATCTATGGTAGCAGAGCCTGATGCAGGCTGCAGGGCTCATGATAGTGATTCTCCCTTTTTATTCTTCCCAAAATTGAAAGCAAGGCTGAGCCCTTTTCTTCAGAAGATAGCTGCGTTCTCAGCTTTCCCTTCAAAAAAAAAACTAAATAAAGGAGTGACTAAGAAAGCGTTTCTGGATGTATTTCTGCACCTGTGTTTCATGAGATCTGGTAGTTTCATCAGCATCATACATGGTGTTACCACACACGAGTACACAGCACAGGTCACTGAAACATCAGCCCCAGAGGGCCTGCAGGCACCTGTTATCCCACTTCCATGCTGAGCTCCACTGCGTACGAGCCAGTGCTTGATGTCCACTGACACTTGAACAAATTTTCCTTGTGATTTCCTAAAGCAAAGGTTAGGTAAGCAGTGCTGGCAGAAAACACTGGACAGCAAAGAAGGATAGTGTGGGTCTCTGGTTCAGTGGTAGAAGATGCAGAGGATGAGGATGGCACGACCATCCTCTGTGCATCCTTATTCACCTGGGGTTTAACCTGGGAAACTATTTCTAAAGAGCAGAAAGAAGCCCACTCCTTTGCCTGTGGAGCCGTCAGTAAGAGGGACCAGTTAGCACCAGGGAGTGATGTGTGCATCTCCTTCCTATTGACTTTTGTACTTTCTGTAGAGCCCAGTTACAACTTTTGGGCATGGACATGTAAATAGGTCAAACAGGACAAGTGAAAATCCCTGCCTACGTTTTGACATCATTACTGTAGTCAAATTCTCTGCAGCATGTCAGTAATCCTCCATGGCAGTCTTATAACGTATGTGGTTCCCTTAATTTTCAAGAGGAGATGATACACCTCAGGGATGCCACATGAAGCCCACCAAGCTCCAACCTCACTGTGTCAAACGGGTCCTTCAGCAATATCAACTTCCAAAGAGATTAAGAGAAAGTTTCCCAGCTGTCTGCTGTAGCTGCCAGGTTTAGGACTTACGTAAGTTGTGAAAATCCTCTCTTCGGGCCTGATGTGTCTCCGGATTTCACATTCGTTTGGCTGAAGTACCGTGATCCCATCATCAGAAAAGACATAGAACATATTTCCAACACTCAGGCCTTGAAGGGGGATAAAGCAAAAGGAGCAGGATTTTGGTTTGGTACGTATCCATAGCTGTGAGGGCTTTTTTTCAGAACTCTCCCTCCTCCCCCGACAAACAAAATCTGCCTTACATAAAAGTTGGTCATTTGGATGCAGTCGGTGCATTCACAAAATCAAATTTCATGTCACAACGAGGGCTTCAAGGAGTGAAGAGGTACAGACACATTCAAAAATGCATTGCCTTGGTGGCACCACTTGTACACCATAACGACGTTCGGTCTGGTGCACATGTACTGAAGTGGGATTTAACCAAAAGAAGCTGCTGTATTACACTGTGGCTCCCCCAGCCTATGACTTAGTTTTTTAATGTTTTCATTAAAAATAGCTTGCTAATAATTTAAGAACTGAGAAGCTTTAGTTACAATTAGTCTGAAGGTTGTCCTCTTGCAGATAACTTGATTTCTTGTAACTGCGATGCAAAACGAACGTGCTTAACAACTGTACTGTGAACGAAAATATATTCTCTATTTTCTTTAACTAACTATAGCCACCAAAACAAACACATTTTTGAAATCTTGCAAACTGTAATTCACAAACGTGGAGTAGTTCAGCATCACAATAGCACTCATTTATCCAACTGGGGCATTCCAGGAGATTTGGAAAACTGGCTGTTTGTCATTGCTTTGCTGTTAGGAGATCATATTTTCTCATTTCTGTCATGCAGAAATGCCTTAAAACACAGATAATTTAGTTGTTCTTCAGTTACATGCAATTGCAGTAACGAGCATCTTTAAGAAATGTTTGGGATCTTTTCAAACACTCTAGTTAGAAAGATCCAAGTATCATTTCATCTTTTGCATACCACCACCAAGAAGTGTTTGCAATGACCACCGTCACCCCCAGTAACGTTGATAGTGTACTTATCTGCCAAGGATATGGTGATGTGATAATTTGTGACTAACTACATTTTAACCATGGAGAAGTAAGGTCCTGGGTCTACAGATCTGAACAATGTCCAGCGTTACGATTCCCTCGGCTGGTCCTATGGTGGCAGCTCTAAGCACTGCTCATGTCTACAGAGTTTCTCACATCTCTTAAGTGTTTGCAGGATTGAGGTCTAAATCATTGCAGGAAAACTTCACCGTAAAAACATCTATAATTTGGATAAATTATTTTTTTTTTTACATTTCATAAAATACTAGGCTAGGAGGGGTGGGTTTTTTTGAGCTAAACACCCCTCTTTTTGTGCCAAATAAGTGGCTTCAGAGCACAACGTCTCAGCACGTGGTGTTTGCTGTACTGACAATGTTCAAGTTGAGCCTCTCTAAACCATAGTGCAGAAATACCCCAGTTAGGGCATCAGGTGGGTACAGGAGCCGTGATCCTTAAATGTGATGCCACAGTGTGGGATCATGCATGGGGAAAAAAAAAGCTACCGAACTTCCACCGAGAACTAAGTTATCTTTATGGGCTAAGGGCTAATTCTTTATGAGTATATTGTTAAGACATTCCATTGGGGCACTTTGGACCAAAATCTGCGCTCACAGCACGCACACAACTCCCACCTGCTTCAATGGGATCTGAGTGAATGCATCAGAGGGCAGAATTTGACCCTGGCTGGAATGAGTGCACATATTTTCATGAGTAAAGGATTTTAATCCTACAAAGTGGAAACAGGCAGGCAACAAATTATGACCATTGTGAAGATGCTTATTATTATTTTCATGCAGGATAGTAGCGTGATTTTGTCTGATGATTCCATTACAATGAGGGTGTATTTCCAAACTAAGGCTTAATTAGTCACTAAAATACTTTGATAATGATTTTACCCCAGCAGGTTTAGAGTTAGTGACTTGGCAAGTCCCACCACTTCTTTTATAGTAACATGAGTGGAAGCTTTTCTGCTGACTGGTGAAAATATCACACAAACTACTAATAGCATTCGGGTACTCTCTTTTTAAATTTTACCAATTTAAATTAAAACACTTTTTCAGAGAGCAATCTTCACACTGATTTTTATATAAAGCAGGATTTTAATAGACAAACTAGGTGTTTTATTGTGACTTACAAAGTATCTCCCAAGTCTTGACTGGGGTGTATAACAATCTCGTGGATGTTAGTAAAATATGTTTCACTCTTGATTACACTGCCACAACTCCTCAGTCTGGGGAATTATTTCAGCACAGAGGTGGGCAATGGAGAATTTTGCTCAGTTATTTATACATTGGGAACTAAGGGACTAATGTGGAGGGTTTTTCTTTTTTCCCCTTTATTTGAAGCCATTTCAGGTTGGATGACACAGCTAGTTCAAAATCTAAAGGCTTTATAAAAGGCAACATACCTCATCTGTATAACAAAAAAACCTAAGACAACAAAAACCCCATTAAGAATGGGGAGGGTCTCCTAAACATGACAGTTCTTATTTGAACAATTTCGGATGAAGTTGACTCTAACATCTTTATTCTTCAAAAACTTCAGGAGGAAACACCTGATGACAACAAGAGTTTTCTTTATTTGAGGAACAGAGTCTCCATGTGAGTGTACATTTTTATTTCGCTCCTTTGAGATCAAAGGGCAAATGTGTCACTGTGGAATACTCTCTTCTGATCCAATACTTGAATAATTTTCCTCAATTTAATCTAAATGCTTGGAAGTATTTTAGAACTTAAATTTGGTAACGAAAAGGCTTCCAGCTTTTTAAGTGCACACATTCATGTAACTGATGATTGCCTGCAGGCACGATATGCTCCCTTTACCCAGGTATAAAGAAAGCAACACTCTGCAAAAATGAACCCTGGCATGAAAGCAAATCTCTACCTTACATTGGGGCTACTCACAGTTTTCTCTGCACAAAATTAAAAACTAGTTTGTACATTGAGTAAATATTGCACATGGTTCCAGCTTCATGTTTAACTGGCTGCTCACGCTATGTGCACTCATTTCTTGAGGTTCTGCTTGTGCGTGGTCTGTGAAAGGTTCTGAGAACAGACTGATAGACTGACTTTTAAAACGAGCAATTACTGGTGTTAAAACTGGCTTGCAGCAAAAGCTTGTTCTATGTAATACTCTGTCTAGGCACTTTCCCAATAGCTTTAGTTACTACAGGCCTTCTGGGCATGAGGATGGGATCATTTTAAAGGAGCTCAAGCCTACCAATCCATTTGTTAATATTGCTACTTACACATAAGTTTTCATTTTAACAGAATTGAAAAAATACATTGAAATGTAAAACCCAAAATACCATTCCTCTCTTCCAGCTTTCTCTGTGCCAAGATTTCACATGCTAAAGTATTTCCAATGGATTGTCTAGAATGAATGAGCTGATCAAACACTACAGAACAACACAGGCAGGGGAATAAACCTGCTCTAAAGATACTGAATTGTTCAGGAACATGAATATAAATCTGCTTTTACTGCCCATGTATTCCCTGCACATTGCTCACACTTTTATTTAAAATGTGCAAGGTTGGTAAGCAGTAAGTCCATATTGTTCAGCAGAATTATAACAAGACTTTCTGCAACTGGCTTCTTAGTTGTTCTTTAAATACTACTATACATCTGGTAGGGTTAACCCACTACTTTCTTTAAAAAGGAGCATAAGGGATGCAGTATGTGAACAGTCATGTAGCACCATGCAGATGATGCTGGACTGATTAGATGCACTAGAGACTCCTCTTCCAAGCTGAAGGGAAATAGCCACTCTTAGTGGCCATAACGCCATTTACAGGAACATCAGCAGTTCATTGCCATGTACCAGGCACGTGCAGGTGGCCTATTTCAGAACAAACACCAGAGAGCTGTCTTAGGTGGCTGTGCCACGTCCCATGACCTCCAACCGGCTGCATCTGCTGTGTGTACGCGCCTGCGGCCAACAGTGGGACACCCGGCCGAGGTGGCACCGGTCACTAAGGGCTGGCACTTTCCTTCTGCCTCTAAAATTCTTTGAGCCAAGCCCTTGCCAAGGGCATGAAGCACAACTGTAGTTTTGGGGACCTGGAGGCACGACTGCTGAAAGGGTTTTTGGATCCCCCAAAGGCAGAGTGGGCGTGCAGCCCTTCCTGGAGCAATGAGGGCAGGGAGGGGGCAGGGGGATGTGGTTGAGAGCAGTTTGGATGTGCATGGAGACCTTCTCCACAAGGCTGCAAGGACACCAAGGTCCCAGCTTCCTCATATGCAACTGGCAGCTGTACAAACTCCTTACACCTGGACTTCGATCCAAGAACCTTCCTCCAGTGAGCAGATATCCTGCTCACAACCCCCAGAGCCCGGAGCCGGGAAGGTCCCCATCCCACCACCTACAGAGGCAGAAGGATGAGCTGCTTGAGAGCTCCTCGGGCCTTTACATCATGCATCTTACTGTGTGTTTTAGAAATTATGACAGCACAAGCGTGCACAAAATCGAATAAATTTTCATTTCAAGTGCCTCCATAATATCTTTGAGTCAATGAGATGTTTTTTCTATTTTTTTTTTTCCTAATTTGGCTTTCAAGATACACAGATGTTGACCTTGTGCAGAGCACACTATCAATTTGATTAAACTAGAGATCTTAACTGCCAATTAAAACAAGGAGAAATGGGGCAACCTTTACCCTGCATCGATTTAAAGGACAGAGGGAAGCAAAACCTGTTGTGGGTTTTATTTTTGCCTAACAGTCAAGAACACAATTTTTGTTGCTCACCTAGTAAACATCAATATGTGCTACTGAGGAGGAAGAGCTTGAATTACTTGCTTAAAAATGCAGCGTATTGAATTTATGTCTTACTTGTTCAATTATGGTAATTTGGGAGCACTTCTGACACTTGTGCAATTGTTCATGCAGCTCGAGAATCCCAGGCTACTCACGTTGGTGGCAGTTTATATAAAATGCACATTTTTATATATTTTATGGTCATCTATTACTTCATAGTGGGAAAATGTAAGAAGTTATAGGTACGATTTATGTTATGAGAGTGACATCTCTTATTTGAATAGTTTAGCTTTTAAATGTCTGGTCTGTATTTAATCTGGTAACTGTGAAAGTCGATAGAGTTAGTGGCAAGTCAGTGGAAAATGGCCCATCATGGAGTTATTAAAGCAGACAAGCACATTATCACTACGACAAAAGAACTTTACTGCAGTACCTTCCTCTCGCCACAGTATGTTTGCAACTGCAGCATCAGAAAATTGGGAAAGCCAGAAAATAATCAGGAAAAGAAAAAAAAAACAACAACAAAACAATGTCAAAATTTTCATTGCAGCAAGTAATTGAATTAATACTCATGTTTACATGAACTGCTTAAGTTGTGAAAACTCTGTAACATTAATTCAATAAAATATCAGGAAAGACAGATATTTCTAAATACATTTGCTCTTTCTGGAGATAATTCTGAAACTCTGACATGGCAAAAATCTTCACTGAAATGAAGTCCACTTTAGCCTGTGCAATGATCAAGGTCTTACTACAGAGAAGATGCTATCTTCAAATGTAATTGGAGGTATGTCCAGGCTGTGATATTCTGTAGGGGCTCAATAAGCAAACATGACATCTTTCAGAAGCCTGAGACTGGCAGTTACAGCAGCTCCACACTTCGCTGCATTTTTTTCTTGGAATTTCATGCAACCACATTCTCTCTTAGGATTCAAATACTCCTTGAAAGTACATCTGCTTTTGAGCTTCTCTTTAAGATATATCCAATTATTTCTCAACATACTGGAATTTCCCTTGCTCAACTATTCAAGGGAAAACGATCGATATTAACAAGAGTGCATAAATCTATTTAATGAGGAATAGAATACATTTTCCACAAAATCACCATGACAGCCCACGTTTATGGCTAACTTCGTTTTCAAATCTTGCTCTATATTAACACCCAGAAAAGCAGCAAAAATCCCATTTGCACCTAGCCTTTTACTATCACCATGAACCCAGGCGATCTCCCAAGTAGCCAAGACAGAAGAATTAGGAAGAATCAGGCCTCTGGGAGCTTTTCCACTGGGACAACTAATCACCTCCTTCATTAATTGTGTTTTGGGGACAGTGCAGTCAAGATAACACTGCTGCACTCCTACGGGAGCCGTGCAGCTAAGTGTGCCTGGAAGAATATCGGTCTTTGAAGGGGAAGATAACATCACACCAAGGGAAATCTATTTTCCTAGTGAGTGATGTAAATACAGGTAAAATAAATAATTCAATCGGAACATTTTTTAAGCATCTAAACATTTGAGAACTTTGACTTGTAACTGGCTTTGAAAGAAGCAGCCTTGTACAGAAATCAATGAAATTTATTTTCTGAAACAGCATATAATTCGACAAACCATTAGGTTTTGGCTTTTTTTACATCTAAAACTATTGCAAATTCATTTCTTTAGTGAAGATGTTACCTGTACCACACCCAGTACACTTCTGGCACATGAAAGGCACCATCGTCCTGCACAAGGAGATTTTACCTTTCTTATGTGATTCCTTCCCAAAACAGTATCCAATCTTCTGATCAAAGCGCAGACAAAATTGTCATTACTTTATGAGTAAGAGTCCAACATACCGCACGCAATGGACTGAACTGTTAAACTGCACGTATACCATTACATTTAAATACTCTTTGAAGAAATAAATTGAAAAAAAAAACCACATGGAAAACTAAGCTTACGGGTCTTTCTTGCTGAATCTTCTATGAAAAGCGAAGATATGTCCTCATCCACTCCCACTTCATTTTTAGCGATGCAGGTGTAGGCACCCGTGTCTTCATACCGAACGCTACTGATATGAAGTTCACTCCCATTTGCTGTAAGAAAGACACCCATAAACAGCCTTCCTCACTGCTGCTAATTGCTTTTGCTGCCCTTAATTGCCTCCCATCGCCGCAGCCGCCCGGCGACGGCTCGACAGGGTGGCTTCACCACACAATGTTTCCCCGCACACAGAGATATTTGGGGGATTCTCATGAGAGTCGATGTTTTGCTTCTTTTCATTAGTGCATACACACACCGTGCCAGAAAGGAACAAAGAACAATCCCAAGTGCAAACAATAAATTACATTTTGTTTACTACTTCTTGTTAAAAAAAAAAAAAAAAAGCTTTGGCTTTAGTAGAGAAAAATTCACTTCAATTTTGCAAACTGTTTTTCATCAGATCACCAAAACTTTGGGTTTGGGATGGGTATTTCTACATCTCCTCCTATCGTTTTGCTTTCTGGAGTGGGACCATTGCCTAAAACCTTTGAAAGAATCGCAAATCAATATTTTGGCCTTTCATTGTGTCGGTTGCACCCTCATTTGAACAAGGACCAAGAGGAGTCAAGAGCCTGACTCCCTCTGCAGAGGTGGGTGTGAGAAGACAGGTGAGCCGCAGCCTGATTCCCAGCTCACTTGCATCCAACAGAGCGTTTATACCCAAACAAATAAATTAATGCATTTCTCTTCTGATTTGCACAGCTGTACAAAGGCGGTGGAGAACCAGGCACGCTGTCTTTTAACAGAACACCGTTACCACTTTTTGCCAATCAATACTGTATTTCCCGAGAAATTCACAGGAGAAAAAGAGAAAAAGAAAGAACGGGGGTTTTGTAACACGATTTCCAACGACCGTGGCTTAGCGAAAGTACGAGAACTTCTCGTCTAAAGTGCAAAATAATCCTCCTTAATCCCCGTCTACAACACTTTAATTAATCAAAATTCTGTTCTTACCTAGGAGCGTTAGTTGTTTGGATAGTTTTGGCATGATATCAATGCCGTTCTTTAGCCAGGTAATTCGGGGATTAGGGATGCCTTCGGCGTGACATCTGAGGCTCGCCGACACGCCAGGCTCCTGCGCCTGCGTCTCAGGGTAGACACGAATCACGGGTGGCACTGTGGGGAACAAGGGATTGGTGACTTGAACCTCACCTGCCAGGTGCCACCCCTTGTCGGGGGCTCGAGAGCCGCTGCCTTCCAACGGTGCTGCAGAAGAGGTCTGACCCCAGCACCGGGGAGACAGGCAATGTCTTGGATTTCAGTGCGAGCCACAGGAATGCTTTTTCTACAGCTCAACTTTGGAGGCACAAAATAGGAAATCATAAAAGAAAAGAGAAAAAAAGCTAATAAACCAACGCCAGGGAGCAACCTCGATATCCAGTTTTTTATTTAGACAATTCTTGCTTGTTCTTGCTTTCTTTCATTAAGTGACTGATTGAACTTGGGTAAAGTTGGATTAAAACCTAAGGCAGGTACTCATATGTTTAAAAATTAAAGTATGAACTCCAAACCTTCACGGAATCTAGTAAGGAAGGAACTGGAGTTCTGGTCTATTAGAAGTAGCATGTTATTCAACATTTTAATTAAACATCCATCAGGAAACAGCTTGCACATTCATTATCTGTTATTCTGAACAAATGAAGTGTTTATAAATGACTTCATGTTTTTTCTGAGAAGCTTTCAAAACGTGACTGACTTTGTTTCAGGAAGGCCCCTCTGAACTATTTAACGTATTCAGTTGGCAGAACTACTAATTATATTACAATTTCAGACAAGTTCATCGATTTTCAATCATGTTGCCTTCATTGCTCAAATCAACAAGGCTTAATATCACCCATTAGCTATTTCTTAACAATTTACTCACATACTTTAAAGAGAATTTCCAATATTGCAGTATCAGTGAAAGAAATCTGTGGGATTCTCCTTCCTTTCACCTCAAGGGACATAACAGAAGGAAGCGTGAGGATGTGCCATATTGTGACTGATGACATTTGAAGGGTGGCCATGGACTGCTGTGTTTCATAATCAAGTGGTCAACTTTTCAGGCAGATTAGGAGATTTTGGGATTCGTGATGCAACCATTGAAAGGTGTAGAGTTTTGTAAAACCATGGTCAGTCATGTGTAGATGCAACGTGGGGGCCCAACTTCTTCCTCAAGGAAAACGAATAACCTTTTCTTGCATTAGTGGAGGACGGAGGAAAATTTGTGGGGTGTTTTAGAAAGCCTGAATGAGTCAGTAACAAACTTCCACTGGAAATCACTGGTTTAAAGCACCAAACTCACTGCTGTGTTTTTATATAGTCCATCATTAGGCTCCCGGACCGGCAAAATTAAATTGACTTAGCAGTTGCTCTAGAATAAAATGAAATCTGTGTTTGCAGCTCGCTATGTGTCTGTATATCCATATGGGGATAGTTTAAATAATTACCTTCACTAGCATATACTTTCCATCTTTCTGTTTCTATTTTTTATGGGCCTTACTAGAGAGAGATGTATTTTACTTCTGTCTTACCTACCAGCTGCCAAGGATTAACCAGAGCTGAGTCATCAGCTTGGAAGGAAATCAGCCACGACAGAAAGCCCTCAAGTCTACTTGTTTTTTATAGCTTTAAAAGCGAGAGATTGTTCAAGTGTAATTTGAGAGGAAATGCCTAGGGGCAACTGGAGAGACAAAATAATGGGGACTTCTAGCAAAAAGAATGGCTTTAAACTCCACCTCTGCACTGGACGTGCAGGCTTACTTCTTCATCTTCCATCTCCTTTACTTGAGAAAAAAACCATGTTGTAAGATGCAGGGCAGTGAGTGAAACACCAC